TGGCTCAGGTCTTTTGCGCTCCTTTTTGTTCCTTTTCTGCGTACTTTTGCTCTTAACTGTCTCCCATTTTACATTGTCCTCACTATGCGGCGGATCTTGGGTAGATCCCGTATCTGTCTGAGATGTCGATTCGCTGCATTCTCTTTTTTTGATCTTTCGCGAGGCGTCTGTCTGTGATTGTTGTTGATGCTGCTCGTGCTGCTCTTCTTGTCTCGAGGGCGATTTCCTCTGGCGCTGCTGCTGTGGTTTTTCTGGTGGCTTGTCCATCCTTCCAACCAACTTTGCGATAGCTTCGCCCTGGGCTTTCACAATTTGACGGAGTCCCTCTATTGCAGCAGGGATCTCAAAACGGGAGCGGTCTGGGGAGGGAACCGAGTCCTCTAGAGCCGTCTCTGAGCTTCCATCCTTTGTTATATGGGAAACTGGGGGTTCCTGCTCTGTTTGAGTGCCTCTATTCGAGGTGTTGGCAGATATTTTGCCCGTATGTCTGCCCCATTGTATCAGTCCTCTGACGCTGTTTGATAGCTGTGCTATGAGTGTTTTTATCTCCCTCTTCGTATTGGATGCGGCGGCGACTTCTTCATCCAGTTTCTTTGACGCGTTGTAGGTCTGCTGGAGATACTTAAAGAAGTGTGCGTTTGCTTCTTCCATTTTGGCTTCGTGTTTGTTAGATTGGTTTGGGGTTGCGGAGTCCAACAACTTCTTCTCAAGAATCCGTTCCTTATCTCCTCCATGTTGGGCCTGGGTCCGTTGCGTGTCCGTAGACACGACTGTCTCAGCAGTTGCAGTGCCAGATGCGAGGGCCTGACTGGACGCCCCCGTAACTGGGTTCTGGATTGTCGATGACGACTTGTGGGACGATCCACTCCCACCCGCTGGCTCTGGGGTTTCCAAGGCCCCTGTAGCAGTAACATCATTATTCTTTGTTGTGCTTAACATCTTGGTTTTTGTTTGTGGCTTAGCCGCCACCGACGACGTCAGCCTCGCGTCGTCTGTCCATTTTCCCGTCGATTTTCCAGATCTGCCAGGACACCGGAGGGTGATCGCTTCTCCAGTGTGGTTTACTGTTTTCCTTCAGAGTCCGTTTGCTGTTGGTAGCAGGTAGACCAGTCCTAACTGTCCCCACCCAGTGAAGGGCAGAGGCAGTTTGCGGGTGGAACCTCTTGGCACCAACCAAGTTAATGGCTGGTGAGCCCCCCCACCACGGCAAGGTGTGTTCCGTCGGGGGGGAACCTAACCTAACCTAACCTAACCTTTTTTTTACATATGGAATCGAACACTAGGGGTGGCACCGACGTGAGTCATWTCACCCCCTGGTGTTCATCGTTTATTGTAAACAAATATACAATGAAATACAATGAAATACATGCTGTAAACACAATTTACACAATTTTATTACATCAAAATAGGGGGCCTCTAACCCCCTTGTTTTGGTCT